TCTGGAGTTCGCAGCACTTACTGTGGTTTTTCTTTAGGGCAAAGGAAGAATTCAGTGTTATTTCTTTTGACAGACGCTGGTAACTCAGGGACACATTCAGACTTCCTAATATGACTTCATTACATTTCAATGAAAGGGAGCAAAATCGTGCTTTAATTCCATTTTATGTTCCTGTGCTGGTCCCAGCAATGAAGGATATTGGGCTTTAGGAACTGCATGGTGATCACTGATAAAGTAAAAAGGATTCTACCCAGTCTGGGCCTGGAGCGTTCCTTACCTCTAAAGTGGAGGAAAATCGGGGTTTTGAAATGTTATTATACAAGAGTGTGAGGCAACCAGTTGCAGCTTTCTTCACCCTCATCAGAGAACAAGAAACTGCGGCTCAGAGAGGGTCTCACAGTTACAGAGTAGCTGAGCTGGAGTTCGAACCAGCTCTGTCCCACTGGAGGCCACTCTTCCCAGCAGCCTCCCATGCATACACGGGTTCATAGTCTCTGTGCATAATCACAACAACAACAAAAGCAGATGTTTCTATTTTAAAGGTTTTGAACAGAGGGTTGTGCTACTTTAGCAAACAAACCCTAAGGGCTAAGCAATACCCAGAGGGTTAGTGTTGGAATCAAAGCGTTAAGTTGATATGTATTCCCTAGTATGCATAGGGGTTATTTTGCCAAGATAATCAATCAGTCATTGTATCTGGGAAATCAGGTATATGTGGCTAGTCATTCATTTACTGCTTTTACAAAGACTTAGCATGCATACGGGTTATTTTGCCAAGATAATCAGTCATTGTATCTGGGAAATCAGGTATATATGGCTAGTCATTCATTTACTGCTTTTACAAAGACAACATTTAACAAAATGGTTTCTTCTTACTTTCTTGGGTTTTATATATTTTCAATCAAGATCAGCATCTATAATTTTATTTGATTCCTTTTCATCCTATTCTCTTGCCTCTATTCTAGTCCTCCCTGCCTATTACCAACCCATCACCCCTTAGAGAAACATTTAGGGCCACAGCTCAGCCCTTTGTGGGGTTGGCATTACCTTTGACCCATCCCTCCCCTGCCCCAGGGAGGCATCCTGGGCGCCCGGACTGGAACCCCCACCCCCAGCACACCAGGCTCCATCCTCTGGCCATCCTGACACATTTCTGGTTGGGGGTCCAGCATCCAGTAGAGGTCAAGTCCCCAAGGTTGCAGCTGAACCTCATAGTCCTCACACCAACTAGATGATGTGAGACATAAGCTGAGTGTGTGGACTTGGGAGAGAGATACCTGCTCCTTTCTCCAAGAATGAAATGAGGCCTAAAGAGTGTAGGTAACCTGCCTGAAGAAACACAGTAGGTCGAAACAGGTGGACTAGAACAAGACCTCCTGTCTCCTCACCCTCTCTCCCTCCACTATCCCATAAAATGTGAAAGAGCAGCATATTTTATCTAGCGACAGATTACTCAGACACTTCTTTTTAAAAGGCATTAGCAGAAGCAATAAAAGATGAATGTATACTATAACTTAAGCAAGGTAAAGAGAATAAAAAACACATATTTAAGGGAGTAGCTGGGTATTTCTCAATACCAAAGAGGCTACCTGGGAGTGCAATTCTAACTCTAAAGACTTCTATTTAGTTTTGAGTTTTCTTGATGCCAAGTTGAAAATGGGAACACATTGAGTTACACAACATTCATTATCTAATAAAATAAAATAAAAAAGCATTTGAGGTTTACCATAAAAACTTTATTCAAAACTTAAACTTAAGTGAAATTATCAGCCATATGATAGTGGACAATGTACTCAATAACACTTTTATAAAAGATATGATTCTTAATAGACTTAACGCTAAATCTTGGTTCTAATTCTGCATTTCTTTGGAAGCCTAAAGTACTAGGTTCCAGGTTTGCACATTTGTTGTAACTTGATTTGATTCAGGATAGAGTTTAACATCTTTAAAGCAATAGTTCTCAAATATTAATATGCAAATAACTTAACTGGGAAGATTTTTTAAATGCAGATTCACACCCTGGCTCAGTTGGTTGGAACATTGTCTTATACACTAAAAGGCTGAGGGTTTGATCCCCGGTTAGGTATACATGGGAGGCAAATGACTGATGTCTCTCTCTCTTTTTCTCTCTCTCTCTCTCTCTCTCATCAATAAATGTATCCTTAGGTGAGGGTAAAAATAAAAAATAAAATGCAGACTCACTGGCCTCTCCACCTCTCCCCCTAACTCTGCATATCAGGGACAGAGCCTGGGTCTGCATTATTAACGAGCTCTGGTTCGGATGGAAGCAACCGGTGGAGCACATTCTGAGAGACACCAATTGAGAAGAACAAATTGTTTCTAGGCTGCTTAGCTTTGACCAGCCCCTTTGAATATGAATTTTCCCCACTCAGTTGTTGATTCACGGACAACAGGTTGAGGGGAGACAGAGGCAGTGTGAAGGCTCTGGGTTGCCGAGGCTCCTATGCTTTGCACCAGGAGTACAGGGAGCAAACATGGGTCTGCCTGATGAACTCGAAGCGTGAGGAGTGAAGGGGGCCATGGAAAGGGCCAGGAGTGGAAGAGGAGCTGGCACAGAGCAGGCTGGGAACGCCCGAGCGCCTGGCTGCTCTGCCGCTTTCCAAGGCCCAGCCTGTCGGGGCTCTGTTGTCCACGGGGGAATCTGTGGCTGGCCTTGCTGTCTTTGCCTACAGCTTATGGGACATTTTCCTGGAAGTCCATTCAGAGTTGGGGTGAAAGCAGGGGCCATGGACTAAGGATTCATGGGTGGGCTTCAGGAGCCCGGAACCCTCTGAAATTATACACAAATATTGTGTGTGTATAGTTTTGTGAAAAGAGATTCACAAAAATACACAACTTTCATCAGATTCTCAAAGGGACCACAAATGATCCCAAAGAGCTGACAACTGCTGAGAGTTCCCGGTGCCGCTGAGGCCTTGAGCTCCGTGTTTGTACTGGGGCGTGCTCCCAGCACTTTGCAGACCTGACGTCAGTTAGCTCACCACCTCGTTGGTGACAGCCAGGACACTAAGTGTCCCTCCACAGGAGCCACCCTCCCTGTCCAGCCTGAGGATTCTGGTAGTAAAATTGTCAGACTTGATTTTGACAACTTGTTTTGGGCAATTAATGCCCTTTCATTGCTCATGGAAACAGTAATTTCAGGTGACAAGATTGTTCTGTGCTGCTTGTTAATGGGGCCTCTGGGGTCGAGAAAACACCACTGAGGTTGCTCTGCCCTGTTCTTTCCCATCTCTGGCATCACCCTTGAAATCTCCAGATAAAATGTTTAGTCAGCTCCCAGAGCGCGGTTTCCTTTCATCCCTCTTCCAAGGAAAGGATTAGAGAAAAGCTTGCAGCCTTTCCTTGCAGCCGCCAGCCCAGGCCAGGCTCCACCACAAGCTTGCTGATCATTAACTTGAAAAGCTGGGGAATTTTCTAGCCCTTCCATTTGCTTGTTTACCCGTCCAGCCAAGTTGCTTCACAACTAAGTGAGTTTTGAATAAAGAGGGTCCCTGGTGATGAAATATTTGGCTCAGCTCATGTCGTATATTTCCATTCCTTTTCATGTCGCTGAACAAGAGGGTTCGTTTGACCGATGGGGGTCAGGGCAGGTCTGCCTAATGGTTCACCACGTGCCATGGCGCTCAGCTGACAGGTGGATGGAAGGGAGGTAACTCTTCTTAGCAGTTTAGGAAGCTGGGAATTGGATGGCTATTTACTAGCTGTGCATACTGACTGGGCCATGTGTTTGACCTCCCTAAGCCCTCATTTCATCATCTGTCAAAAGGGGATAAAATAACAGCTAGCTCATGGTACAGCTGTAAGGACTAAGTGGTTTCGTAAATACCTGGCAGACAGCAAGAGCTCAGCGAAACTGAAAAGATAGCATCTATTATAAATACAATTCATTTCTCCTTTCCAAGCCCAGATCTTATAAAGAAGTCTGAAATAGTGGGGAGGTTAAAGAAATAAATATAACACTCCAGCCCAACTTTATCTCCATGCCCTCGAAGCTTGTTAACATAGCCACATCTCATCCCATCAACCCTGAAATCCTTTTCTAAAAGGCCGCAGACGAAGATAGAGATGATTACACTATCAGTTCAAATTGCTTGACACCGATGTCATTGTGTATGACCACACTGCTTGCAATCAAAGATTTCATGTGAAACTGACAATAAAGAATTTGTAGGAGACCCGTTTTCTCTCTCTCTGCTTCTCCTTGATGAAACAAACCAAAGACATTACCATCGTGGTGACTTTTCACAAGAGTTTCAGGGTTGTTTTTTAGCAAAAGGTGTCTGTTCTTTTTCCCTACTTCCGCATCTATCTTAGGATTTTATTCCCACTCTTTAGAAACTAAATGCTAATAAATTTGCTCCTTCGTGGAGTTGATTCTCCTACTTAAGTATTTCCTTTAATATTTTTTCTTCTCAAATTTCATGAGGGCTTGTACTCACCTTTATTGCTATTTCCTTAGGTCTGCATTCATAGCTCTTGTTATTTATTTATTTATTTATTTATTCACATTCATAGCTTTTATATTTACTTTAATCTTCAGCCAGACTGCAGCAGGCAAACTAAACATTGCACCAAGATGTTGAATGTCATCTAGGATTAATGGCCAGCCCTGCAGTTATATCCTCAGCTCAAGCCTCATCTAACTGGGAATAGGATAGGAAACTGGAGCTCTGTGTGTCTTGAATGGCAAGGATCTCTCCTTGTTCTTGACAAGCTTTCCTTTAATCTAGCCAATTGTAGAGACAAGGAGAACAGAGAACACTTAAAATTATTTCCATTAACTTATTTAGGTGGGGTGTTTGGTGAGAGTCCATAGAAATATGGGCGATACAGAAGGCTAGAGAGGTCCCTGGGTTGCATCCACATGACAGAGAAAGTAACCCAAAGTACGTGTGTTAGGGACATTGGGATGTTTGGCTAATGCTTCTACATAAAAGACGAGCCCATTTGTTCAGTAAAGGTGTTGTTTGCCCTCCCAGCTGCTGCGGTCTGTGTGACACTCCTGGACAGACTTGAATGTGACCAGATCAACTTGCCCCATGATATCCTGGTGGAGTACCAGCCACGGCCCCAGCTCCTAATCTCCAACTTCATCAAACAGCGGGTTGGACTGCATGACCAGCCATCATAACTGGGTAGCCCAACTCTTCCCTGCAAGTTCAAGTTGTCATGTTGACATTACATATCATTTGTGGCATTTTCATAGAGTTCTCATCCACATGCTAAAATCATAATAGAGTGATTTTATAAAAACCCCTTTCTCCTAAAAAAAATGAATTTATTTTACAAGAATTTAATACATTCATTAAGTTCAGATTTTATTTTAGAAGTCAGTATAATAATTAAACATTTAAAACTCCTGAACTGTGACATTTGGAGTTTCATATGCAGCATTAATTAAGCTCATATCAAAATAGATCAGCCATTTGTAGACACGGTTCCCGGTCACTGTTTCGGAAACCCATCCAGAAATTCATGATAGAATGTTGTCAGGCACCATCGGTATTGGTCAAGTGACAGGAATAGATCATGCACACTCAAAATATTTACAGAAAAAACTGTGCATGTAAGATAGGTCTACATTAAAAAGCAACCCTTTGGGAAATATGACCATACTTCTTTCTCCCCTTGCGTGATCTCAGCACACCACAGAGTAGGATTAGAGGCTTACATTTGCCTATGTTTGTGGTTTTCTCATGAAATATAATCACGTTTATTTTCAAGTGAAAACCCTCAGTAATGCAAAGATTCTCATTTTTCTTCAGAAATCACAAATGATTCGACCATCTTCTAACAATTTTTTTCCTTTGAAGGAGATATATTTTGAGGAGGTTGTATTTTTTATGTTATTTCCATATTTACCTAATAAATGGAGGAATTAGTCACAACTGACTTTAGACTTGAGTTCAAAATGTTAAAGCCTTCCTTTTGTGTGACTTTGAAGCAGGTCCTGCCCACACCCTGCCTGTCCTCCTATTCAGTTAGACCCTCTGGGAGGCAGAGTCCCATGGGCTCTGAGTTGATGCTCCTGGAGGGAGGGGGGGAGCGGTTAATCTAAAGCTGAAAACTTAGGAGTTGGGGAGCGTGGATGGGGGAGGGGTGCAGGAGGCCTAACAATCTTGTATAGTACATCACGTTGTGTATATATATTTATATGGTTGTGACTCAAAGTTTAATTTCAACCAGATAGAGATTATTGCATCTTTTTAATCAACAACAATGAACAATCCCCCAAGAGGTGCATCAGTTTGGGGATTTCTTTTGGCAATAGATATGTTTGGAGGGCAATTTTAAGGCACCCCAATAACTGACCAAAGATCGGAGCTAAAAGTTAAGTAGATTAATATTGTCATCATTAGTGGAGTATGCACTTTCCCCTTTTGTAGACCAAGTGGGAATAACCAAATGCTCTTCATAAGCTTTCAAACCCCAGAGGTTTGAACTTCTTTCTTATCTGCTCCTAAAAAATCTTAATTTCTGTTTTATTGAGAGAAGCGGAGGCTGTGGGAGAGACAGAAAAATGAAAAATTATGGTGAATCATCCTGTCCACTCCTGACTGGGAGCGTGTGTGCCTGTGCGGTGCATCTGCATAGGTTCATGTCTGTGTGTTTTCATGGTATCAGCTGCGTAAGCCTGAAAACCTGGAAACTTCTCTGGTGATTCTGTCTCCCTCTTTCCTACTCCAATCAATTGCCAAGACCTGTTGATTGATTCTCCTAAATACTTCCCCATTTGTCCACCAATAGAAAGCCTTCCTGGTCCTCATACAAGATTCCATTTACAGCCACGACCAGCTCTTCTACTTCCATGTTTAACTCCCAAATACCAACACAGTTGAAGTTTAATGATTAATTTTTGGTCCAAAATACACTAAATAACTTTCCCTGCCTTCTTTTTACCTAGTTATAGAGTATTATTTAGTACTTTGTACCCTGTAGGTGCTTAATAAGGACTATTCACTATCAGTCTCAACAACATTTCAAAGTCAGTTGGAATTTTATTTATTTCTTTTAAAAATATAGCTCTTGACATTTGAGACTCATTTTGCAAAAGGTTGATAAAAAAAAAAAAGAAACCTATGGACCCGCTCTGCAAGAAAAGGCACATTCATATGTCTACCCCTGAATTTGCATATAATTTGAGTTCACATACCTCCTCAGGCTGGGTCATGGCAGGTTGTCTGTGTCCCCTGTCAAAGACCACAGTGCCTGTGGGTGGCCCCTGCCACACCCCTGCCTTCTCTAGCTTCCTATAATTACTCGCGCTCCAGCCCCCTTAGATCAGGGCTGGTAGCAGCTGTTCCCAGCTGCACCATCCTTTGCTGTTCCCTAAATCCTGCTCACCCTTTGTAAACAGTCCCATCAGTAAGTTCTGTCAGTTCCCCAGTTTAATTGTGCCACA